CCCTCCCCGGGGCTTCGAATGGGCAGGGGAGGCGGCTGGAAAAGTCGCAGCCCCCCCCCCCAGACAGGCAGGGGAAAGGACTGGGGGACGCTGAAGGACCGGGCCGTCCACTCGGCCAGGAGGCTTCCTGCTGGAGAAGACTCCTCAGTAACAGCTTTTTTGGGGGGGGGGAGAAAACGTCCTTCAAAGGCTTCAGTGACCTGTATGACTCTGGATCAAAGCCCAGTCCCCGGCCCTGTGGGGAGGGCGGGAGTCCCACCTACCAATCCGGCTCCCGTCTCTGGCTACTGGACTGCGCAAGAGAGGTTCGTCAGGGCTCGGCCCCTGCAGCCCAGGAGCTTGCGTCCGGCGGGACCACCCCAGGAAGTCCTCCGGAAAGGTTCAGATGGGGGTGGGGGCTTTTGCCGTGGACTTCCGCGGGTTTCCCGCCTGTCAGCAGGGAGGCTGGAGCCCCCCCTCCCCTCCCCGCTCAGCGGCACAGGCAAGCCTTGGTGGTGTTGGGCTCTTCCCCGCAGCGCAGCCCTGTCCCTCGAAGGCTGCCTTAATTTGATGTAACCTTAAGTGTCTAGCTTTGGTTCTTTATCTCCACGGGTTGAAATATTGCCACAAACCTGTAAATCTGGTGAGGTGACACCAAAGGGGAAGTGGTAGGAGAATTCCACACTTTCTGTCTTTCTGTCTGTCTTTCTTTCTGGAGTCTACAGTGGTCATGCGGTGGGGTGGTCAAGGCTGGTATATACAGTGTAGGGGGGATGTGTGGCGAGTGGGACCTGACGGACTTTCCAGTTCAGAACAGAATCAACACGATGTCTTGGGATACAATAATAAAGTAACAGTCCTTTCTTTCTCTCTCTCTCTCTCTCTCTGCCCCCCTCCCTCGTTCCGCACGGACCCGGCGGCTGGGATGGGAAGCGATGCCTGGTCGGTTGGGCTGGCGCTCCAGAGGAGACAGGCCCATCAGACCGGCCCCCGAGGGAGTCCCCGCCGGCTAGGAGGTGTTTAGGACCGGTCTGGAATACACACCTTGGTAATAGGAGGGCTCCAGGGCCGAGGGCTCAATGCCCCCCCTGCCGCCCATGGAGGCGCTGCTGAGGGGCAGCCCGCCGGGCAAGCCGGCCCCGTAGGAGGAATATTGCAGCGCCTGCTCGTAGGCCTTGAAGTCCAGCTTGTGCTGCTGTTCCGAGGAGGACATGAGGTTGTTGATGGAGAAGGGGTGGTTGAAGGAGTAGTGGGGGTCGCCCTTGAGGTGCAGCTGCGACTCGTGGTGCCCCAGCGAGTGGCCCGGGTGGCCCAGCGAGGCCAAGGACGGGCCCGTCTGGACGGAGGCCGCCGCCACCGCCGCCGCCGCCGCTGCAGCCGCCGCCGCCGCCGCCACGGAGGGCTTGAGCTCGGCTCCGTTGCCGTTGTGATCCAGGGCCGGGGGGCTGCCTGCGCCGCCGGGGTTGGAGCCGTGGTGATCCAGGGCGGGGGGGCTGCCTGCGCCGCCGGGGTTGGACGGGGTGGCCTCGAGCTGGCCGCCCTTGGGCTGGCCGCGGTGCAGAGGGGAGCCGGTGGGATCCTTCCTGCCCTCCCCTCCTCCGGGGCCGCCGCCTCCCCCGCCTCCCCCGCCTCCCGGGGGGGCTTTGGCGCTGGCTTGCTTGTCGCACTTGAAGCGCTTCTGGCGGCGGAGGTAGCAGCCGTTCTCGAACATGTTGCCGGAGTCCGGGTGCAGCGTCCAGTAGGAGCCCTTGCCGGGCTTGTCGGGCGAGCGGGCCACCTTGACGAAGCAGTCGTTGAAGGAGAGCGAGTGGCGGATGGAGTTCTGCCAGCGCTGCTGGTTCTGCCGGTAGAAGGGGAAGAGGTCCATGATCCACTGGTAGATCTCGCTCAGGGTCAGCATCTTGCTGGGCGCCTGCTGGATGGCCATGGTGATGAGCGAGATGTACGAGTAGGGCGGCTTGGCGTGCGGGTAGCTGCGCTTGAAGCTCTTGGCGTCGCGGCCGCGGCTCAGGTTGGAGGGCGCGTAGCCCATGGGGCTCATGCAGGGCGCCATGGACCCGTGGTAGGCGCTCAGGCCGTTCAGCGAGGCCTGCGGGGGCCCCATGGCCGACATGCCGCCCGGGCTCAGCGCCGAGCCCATGGCCGACATGCTGTTCATGGCTCCCCCCGTCCCGCCGGGGCTCAGGCTCAGGCCCGGGTTGGCGTAGGACATGTTGAACGAGCCCGACGTCATGTTGCCGCTGGTGGTCATGGCGTTCATGCTCATGTACGTGTTCATGGAGTTCATCGAGCCCAGGCCCGAATTCATGTTGCTCACCGGCACCGTCGAGTAGGCCTGCGGAGGGGACACGGGTTAGAGCCGGCAGAGGAAGGGCCCCGCTTTCCGCCTCCCCAGCCCCTTCCCACAAGCGCCACCCCAGGGAGAACTACCCACCCCCCAACACACAAACGCAGCAGGCCCACCCACACGGCTTCCGGTCTCACAACCAACGAGCAGGGGTGAGAATCCGCCCTTTGCTGCTCTTGAAACCCCCTGTTTCACGTAGGAACAGGCCCTACGGAAATACCCCCGAACCCCAATAGGATACCTTCTCGGGAATATCAGTTTTGGGATGAAAAAATATATATCTAGAAGTCACCCACGCGGGGATGGAAACCTCTTGTGCCTGAAGAACAGTGACACCCTCCAGGGGGGACGGGTGTCACAGCCCGTTCTTGCGCATCTTCACGGGGAAGGAGAGTTTCCTCTTTGTTCAGCCGAATTGACAACCCGATACCTGGATCGCGGCCACACACTCTCCGGATCGCGTGCATCCACGGGCAGGTTTACTGGGGAGCCATGCTCCCTCTATGCTGTGAAGTTTTGTGAGCAGAAATTCTACTTTGTGAGCTACTGGCATTAAAGCTGTGAGCGAGTGATTTGGCTACGGCATAAATTAGCTTGCTTGCTCTGGAGCCATCCTTCTCGAGCGAAGGCAAAAATCTGTGAGCTGGAGGCTAGAAAACTGTAAAGTAGCTCACACGAACTCAGCTTAGAGGGCACACTGCTGGGGAGATCTCCTGGGATCAAGCCACCCGCCCCGGCTCTCCCATCTCCCAGGGGCTGAGGCTCTGCTCGAGGGAGAAAAAGCCCCCCGGCTCAGCTTTGCTCTCCAGTGGAAGGCACGGGGCTGGCGGAGGGGGATGGCGGCTGGGGCCCCCGGCGAGATCTCGGCCTCCCAAGCAGCGGAGCCCGGCGGGCCCAGCAGGAGGCTGCGAGCCCCTTCCGGACGGCCCGTTGGCTCCCAGGAAGCCGGGCCTCCGGCGCCTTTGCGCCGCTCTCCGCCGCCTCGGCCATTCGGGCAACCCAGAAGGAGGCAGCGGGAAAGGGCAGGCCAGAGGGCGCCTCCAAGCGCGCCGTCCCCGTCCCCTACCCCCCCACTCATGCCCGGCCAGCGGCCTCCTAAGGCCCCGGGCGGCTCTCCTGCTCCCCGCCGCTGGGCTCGCCCCCGAAACAAACCCGGCCGCCCGGGCAGAGGGAGGGAGGGAGGGAGGCCGGGCCTTCGCCCGCCAAAGCCAGGCCAGGGACAGGACAGAGCGGCCGGAGGGAGGCGGAAGGGGGCCTCGGGAAGCCCGACCTGCATCTCCGCCTGCCCCCGCCGGAGACCAGACCGGCGGGCCGCCTTCCCTCCCCGCCTTCCAAGCCAGGCGCCCTTGACGGAGGAGGCGTTCGGGCCGGGCTCTTTCCGCCTCCTGCTCCAGGGCAGAGTTTTCCCCGCGCGGCAAGAGGAGGACCCACGCCTTGCCCGTTATGTGCAAATCGTCATAAACAAACGCTGGCCTCCGTAGTCAAAACGGCATGCAAAACTTTGGAGGGAAAGGATCAGTCGTGTCCTGGACCGAAATCGCCCCAGGGTCCTCGTCTTTCTGGCGCAGTGATTTTAAGAAACACGAAAGGATTCTAGAGACTTCACTGAAGGCTTTATTTTTTTTGGGGGGGGGACCCAATATTTTAAACGAGATAGATGAATTATGAACGGCAACAATTTAATATTAATGTACACTTTTTTAACGCCAGTGCCGTGGAGTCGGGAAGAGGCATACATTTAATATAGCCCCGGCTTTGCCCCCTGTTGACCCTGCAGCATTAAAGTACAGGCCCGACGAGGAGCGCCTACGCAAAGACATATGTTGCCCTGGAGCCCGCCGCCTGCGATGTGCAGCGCCTGAACCCGGACGTTGACTCTGGTAAGAGACCGCTAAGGAATATCTGCTCTTTGTCCTTTCAGCCGGGTTCGAGTCGCCCTCCGTCCCTTCCTTTTTATTCATTTCATCTCTCTGCTCCTCTTTTCACGTGTTTTTTTAAAGCGACTTTTGCGGAGCTGCAGATTTTTTTTTGTTACCATTCTCATTATTGTATCCCCCTTCCCTATTCATTTAGACAGCCCCATTCACTCCGCCGTCGGGGTTTTGCTTGCCCCTCCACCCATTATTGTTCTTCTGGCTGCCTTTGATCTTTTCTTTCAGTTCTTTGGAGCATATTGTAAAATAAGGAACGTGGATATATGAATGGACAATGCAAAAAGACAAGTTCCTGGTCTAGAGTCAGATCCTACTCTCGGCAGCGCCACCCTCCTGTCATAGAGAGAATCGCTCCGAATTTGTTTCTTTTAATCACTCCTCCCCCCCCCCGCACCCGAAGCGTGTTGCGAAGTACACACAAATTATTATTCTGCCCAATCTACCGTATTAGGATTAACACAATAGAGAAGGAGAGGAAGGGGCCCACACAACATACAGCTTTCCCCGATAGTGGGGGACAGATTGGTTATCCACGGCCTGCTTTAAACGCGTACATTAAGGCCCGAATTGTTTTTGGGGGGGGGAGACTGGCGGGTTGGTTGGGAGGAAGAGGAGTTCGAGGGGCGGCTCGAGTCCCCGGAAAAGTGGAAGCCGCGATCCTAGCGAGGGATCGATAATTCTCCCTCCCACCCGCAGATCAGCTCGATTGCTACTGATCCACCCCCCGGGGGGGGGGCTATTGGAAATTAAGGTGGATTTCTTCCTGGCTTTGCGGCCAGCTGTAACGTTGAAAACGACAGATTCACCCCAGCAGGATCTGGAGCGAAGACCTGGTTGCCCCGAGAGGACTGAGCCCCTTTCTGCCCGAAGGCCCCCCCCTCTCAGCCGGCCAGCCCCCCCCCCCCGCGCGCCCCGGCCCCTCTCTGCCTGCCCTGGGCGCACTCACCTCCTGCGTGTCGGCGTAGTAGCTGTTCCACTCGCTGGTCTCATGCCCTTCCATTTTCACAGCCCCTAACATCCTGGAGCCCGCCCGCCCGGTGTAACCATCCAGCCCCTTCTGGCGGCACGCGAGGGAGCCCCCCCAGCCTACCCGGAAGCCACCCCCCGGGGAGGGCTGGAGCGAGCCCCGAGGAGCGGGAGGCGGCAGGGAGCGGTGCGTGGCCGGGAGCCGCCACTTGAGAAAGTGAGGAAGTGCCGGCTGGGATGGGAGCGGAGTTGAGCTGATGTGGAGCTTACGTCGTGCGGCAGCGGCAGCGGCAGCGCCCACCTCCTCCTCCTCGGCCGCCGCCCCTCCTCCTCCTCCTCCTCCTTCTCATTTGTCGGCCGCACAAAGACGCGCTCTCGCACCTACAGAGCCCGGAGATGCACCTGCAAACACACCAGCCCCGCGCCGCCCGCAACTCCCCCGGGGCGGCACTTTATTTGCAAAGCGGTGTAATTGGTTTAAGCGGGCGGGGTGGGCCGTGGGGGGGGCAGAGAGGAGAGGGCAGGGAGGAGGTAAGGGGGGGGGGCGAGAGAGAGAATGAGAGAGAGACCCGCGGGGAAGGGAGCAGGAAAACACCCTCCCAGTTATCTTTATTGGAAACGGGGGGGGGGAAATGTAAGGAAAGCAGATCCAAGAAGGCGGCAGCCGTGTTGGAAGCGCAGGGGGGGAAGGCCCGCCGAGGTCTTGGGCAGAGAGCCTGAGGGGGGCTGGCTGCAGTGCGGAGTTCTTTCGACTTGTGGAAGGTTTCCGAGGGTAGGGTCGGAGGGAGTAAGGTGCCTTCCCACCCCCACCCCCCAGAGCCAGGGGTCTCGATCCCACACCGTCCACACATACACACACACCGGTATCCTCGGCTGCCTCACCGCCTGTCCACCACCCCCACCACTACCACCACCCCCGCCGCCCCGGACAGGTTCGGTCCCTTTGCTCGCCCGGCTTCTCTTTCCTGCCCCGCCACTCCGGAGCCCCGGCCGTGTGAATGAGTCACGAGCGTGACGCTCAGCCAGCCCCGGGCCCCATGAATAGACGGCTGAATGCGGATCTCCTCCCAGCCCGCAACCTCCGCTTGGCAAGCGGCCCGGTGAGTCACGCCGACGGAGGCGAGGGTCTAGCGGCGGGTCTGTGCGGCCGAGCCCGCCCGCCTGTGAACCCACCCCGCTCCACTCGCCCTTAAACTGGACCCCCGGCGTGGACGGGCCTGGCCCGAGGTCAACGGGAGGCTGACATCCCCGGAGCACGAGAAGCAGTCTTCGAGCAGGTTGTGGCGGGGCCGGCGGGAGGCGGCGTTTCCCGTCGCTTCCAAGTCCAGACCGCAGATGCTCGTCCTGAGCGATCCTTCAGGATTGGGGCCAGGAGCTGCGACGCACTTTTATTTGGGAACGAGCCCGTCGTAAACATGAGAAGCACTGGGGAAGTCCGCGTATTTACTCGGGAGCAGGTCCTGATAAAATTCCTGGGGCTTGTTGGGTTAGGAGCCCCCTTGGTTCCAATGCAATCCATGCGCTGAACTGGACTTCAGGGCCGACTTCCCAGCCGGGCAGCCATAACCTCGCTCCTTAAAAGAGAGCAGGGCCGGCTTCCTTGCCTTGCCTTGCCTTTCGAATTTTCTGAACCGCGGGCCGGGGTGGGGGGGACACCTTCGTTCCTGAGGTTTCCAAGAGTCTGAAAATGCCCCGTTGGCTACAAGGCAGGGTAAACTCCCGAGTGGCAGCATAGCCAGGTTGACGGTGGGGATCAGACCGTTCCTGAGATGGAGCAAAGAGAAGCCCCCCGTCCACAATCCAACTCGAGTGTGCATCAGGCTCATTCCAGGTGCTTCAATGGTCCGGGGACTTTCCCCCATATCAGTGTGCTTAGACCTGCATGCATGCCGTTTCTTTCCTTCATGGGAGCACAAAAGATGCTTAAATCCAGATCCACGCCTTCCTTTTACGCGAGTTGCGGTCTGCCTATTCGTTTCCTCCACATTCCTGGCATTTCTCTAATTCGCCTGGCAAAAGTAAACCTAGATCCATGTCTATATCCATTTGTACGTAGTTCTATGGATATATTTAAAGGCGTTGATGAAATTCTTAATATTAAGCTAATAAACGATTTTGCGGTTAAAGACTAACACGCCTGGCTTTAAGAAATACACTTTTCCACTCAAGGCGGCATCTCTTATCCCTTCCTTTCTTCGTTCTGTCCCCCGTCCTCCTCCTTAAAGCTGACAACAGAATTAAGTTAAATCCTTGAAACAAACAAATGTCCGAAATCAGCAGGAGAGAACAAGGGATGAAAATGTGGCGTTAAGGAAATAAAAGATGAAAGCAGCCAGAGGACAAACCGTTCCTAAATATGAGCCACACTGTTGATTAAGGACTCCTCTCGCAAGGGAGCACGTATGGAACGCCTCGCCACAGAATACAGCTAACTGGGGAAGAGAAGAGTGGCTAAAGAATGGCTAAGTTTGGCGGTTTGTATTTTTAGCTACCGGTGGGACCGGAGATAGTCTGCGGATAGATTCGGTTTGCAATTATTGGCTGATGTTTGTAATTCCGGCGGAACACTTCGATCCGAACCGCATTGTCTGGAGTAAATGCCATTCAAATTAACATCGTGGACCCAGGCGAAATCAAGCGCATTGTCTGTCCCCTGAATTTCTGTGGAAGAGATTTAATTTAGGCTTTGGGGCCGCCCAGTGCTGGAATCCTAAACACTTTTTCTCCCCTCGCTTAATCCTGTTTGTTCGGAAGCCGGCTCTCTGATTGCTAATTCACTTGGAATTAAATTCTATTGAAATCGACGAGTTTTATTTTCAAATAAATGCGTACAGGAGTTGGGGCGCTAGTTCTCTTTCGAAGTCATTCTAGCAAATCGATTCGAAATACGTTTACTTAGAAGAAAGTTCCATTTATTCCAATGGGACAAAGCTTAAAACCAACCAACCAACCGAGGGGCAGTCAAATTACCGAAGCGCAATGGAGAAGAAGGGGAGTTAGGAGTTCATTCTTTTGTGTGTTTTGTGGCATTATTTTAGTAAACTTCATACTTCTGGCTAGTTTTCTCAACAGTTCTATAGATGATGAAATTAATAATAATAGTAAAATAATTGATAGCTGCAGTAGTAGTAGCATTTTATTTCCTATACAGATCAGAAACATTTCCAAAACTCTCAAGTGAAAGTAATATATTTCTTTGCTAGATAAAGTAAATGGTGTTATCTTATCCAATAAACCTTTTTAAAAATGTGTTCCCAACCCCTATCCAATAACATTAACAGCCTTATCCTTTTTCTTTTTAATGCGAGAGATTCTGCGCAGAGAGGCTGTCGAGAGGTTTGGGGTAGCGTGCGTCCGTCAGTGCAACCAAGATCTCGGGGGGGGGGGGAGCGGATCGGCTTGTGCAAAGTCGCAGCGCCTCCTGTCGTCCAGCCGCAACCGAAAGCGCGCACACCTGTCTCTGCCGGCCCAACTGCTCCTGCGGCTAAGAATACCAGCTGGGAAACCGCCCCTAAGAGTCAGGCAGGGCATTCAGAGTCCCCCCAGGGCAGTTTTGCGGCGGACTTGGGGGGGGGGACCAGTGGACCGCGCGACTCTCCGAGCCCTCCCTCGATCGCCACCAAAGCAAACCCTCGCTAAACGGCTGGGAAGGCCCCTTCCTCCTCGCCTGCGCCGCGATTTCCCGGGAGGGCTCCTTGAGCCCAGAGGTGGAAACAGAATTGTGGAGCTGAAAATTGGCCGTCGCGTCTGAGTGTTTGCCCTTTCGGCCGATCTCTCTGGAGTTCCACCCGCACACCTCTTCTTTGCAAATTAGCGGGACTCATTCATTTCATTCCGCACCTTCGCCACACTTTCAAGTGCAGCTGCGCAGGAAGGAGGGCAGGAGGGCGCAGCTCTCGCTAAGCGCTTTTGGATGCCTCTAAAGACCTGCGGACCCGAGCGGGCGCTAGACAGCAGAGCCCCCCCCCTCCCCAAACCCTTAACGCCCGGGGAGAGATGCTGTTTGCCCTCACGTAGGCAGCAGCCGGCGGATGCCTTTCTGTATGTTTGGTTTCCTCTGGAGGATAACTAGAAATGAGTTTGGGGGTGAGAATTTCATCGCTTCTCTGCAGGGATCGCAGGAGAAACAGAGGTGAATAATAGGGGCGGGTGGATGGGCGGAATTCCTCCTAAGAAAGGAAGGAGGTTCCCGACAACCTTTTGAGGAGCCAGTCAGCCCCCTCGGCCAGCGATTTTCATTTACTTCCTCCCACGTCTTTGACTCTCTCTCTGCCAAGACACTCGGTTATTGCCGAGAGGCCCCTCAGAGCAATGTGGTCCTCAACTTTGTTTCTGCTCGTGCAATGAGTCCGATATTTCCCAGACCTCGTCTCTTTCTCTCTTTCTCTCTTTCTCTCTTTCTCTCTTTCTCTCTTTCTCTCTTTCTCTCTTTCTCTCTCTTTCTCTCTCTTTCTTTCTTTCTTTCTTTCTTTCTTTCTTTCTTTCTTTCTTTCTTTCTTTCTTTCTTTCTTTCTTTCGACTGTGAAAGGCCCAAGACCCTGTCCTCAAAATGCGTTGAGCCCGATTCCAACGTAAGGAGGAGCTCCCTTTCAGATCCGGGTTTGTGCTCATCCAGACGTTTCAGATCTCCAGTTAAGTACCCGAATACTAAGGCTGGCACAGGCTGTCAAATAGTTCTGAAGTGTGCATCGACGGGAGGGGGAAACAGTCCTCTTCCATCTAGTAGAAGGTTAAAAATAAATGGAAATTTCCTCTCCTTAAATTTCACTGATTAGACTGTCCTACATGCGTGGACTTAGACGAGTCTTCTTAGGATTGAGGTGCAATTCTAAAAGGACGGCCTCCTTACAAAGGACTTGGGCGATTTTAAACTGTTTGTTTTACCTGGATTTCTCATCTCGTCTAGAGGAACCTTAAGAAGAGCTGGATGGCTCTCAACAAAGATCTGTGTCTCACGATAGACTCTCCTCCCGCGGTGCTCGGAAGAAATGTCACTGCGAGTTTTCAAGAGGGACATTTTAGTTCACACCCCCCCATATCTCTATTTCTCTG